CATCATTGTGTCTTAAAACATTGTGACGTTAAAATAACGGCAATTCAACGTCCGTCGGTCATTAGCTGCCCAAAAATTGACGTCAAAATGACGACAGTTTGCTACCTGGGAGGAGGAGAAATATGACTTCTCAGTAGGGTAATGGTGACTTCTCAGGTTAGTAGTAAAAAAAACCTGATATCGATTTTTCAAATTTACGTGTTTCAAGTTTTTTTATCGTAACTTCAGATTTAAAAAAAATAGGAATAAAGAACAACTTTAGTATTTACCACTTTTCACAATTTTTTTGAAATAAATGATCTAGGATGGGTCAACTTATGAGGAAACACCCTGATGTACTCGTTATCGAGCATTATGTCTGTTGACATTGTTGATATGAACGAGTCTGAAGGGACGACCGATTACTTTCCTAGTTCATATATGTATTAGTTGTTTCCCAGCATTGTTCGATAATATCTCAATTTTATCAATGCCAATTGTTATTGAATTATGTGTAGTGTGTGGTAAAGCATATATAAGTGTGTTGATTTAATAAAATGCCTTAATAAATCGAAATATATCGGAATAAGTGCAGTATAGTAACCACGGTTATGCCCGTTTTGTCCCGTTAAAAACAGCACGGTATAGATTAGGTTTGTCGAGTTAAGCGGCGAGATAAAAAGGAAAACATATTTATCAATTTCAGTCAATTGTTTAAACATATTTGCCAACATATCCTTCATAGCTGCTGATCTCAGTTAGGATAAGCCAATTTTTCTTCTGAAACATATTTTGATTTTTCTGCATATGGCAACACCCATCGTTTTAATTTGAATGTTATCACAGTGATTATAAAGGATTAGTATCAATTGTGAGTAAAATTTTAAACTGTTTTTGAAATCTCGAGTGTGGTGGCGCCTGTCAAGGAAATCCGCACTAACTGATTAGGGAAATGAAGAATTTTGATAAAATATGGAAAAGTGGCTATATAGCTGATAGGATTTCATATGTACAGTTACGTTTTGTCGGCTACTTGGATCACTAAGTCACGTAATGAAGTGTTTAGTTGGGTGTACGCTGTTGATAGGTTTTGCCTTTGCAACTTTTCAGGTAACACTTTTCTAACTTAAATTAACTATAGCAATAAACTACTTTTTTAATTAAATGTTTATGAGAGTAGAAGAATACTTATAATATTTTCTTGTATGTCGTGAACTTCTTCGGTATGTTAACGTCAAGTGAAACAAATTTGTGTACTAAGTATACAGGGTGTTTGGTAAGTAAATGCATTCCTTGCAGGCGGTGATAGTGCAAGTAATTTTCGATATATTACCTTAATAAACCATAATCCGAATCCTCTTACTTTCCGATACACAGGGTGTTAAAGTTTTGCTTAAAAAATTATATTTATTAATATTGCGGAAACGGCTTGGATTATTTTAATGAAATTTTATAGGCTTAGGCAACAACAATACATGTTTTGTGTAATTTTAAGTAAAACAATGTTTCGCCACTGATGTTTCTAAATTTAAATATTATTTTTCAAGTTCTTGTTGAATTTAGAAGAGAAAAGGTCTCTTGAGTTTTTTTCTTCAACGCACCGTTTTTGAGTAAAAAAATAAAGTTAAATAGGGTTTAGTGTAAAAACAGCAAAAACAGTGCCATTACAAAGTCAATTGTATTACAAAAAATTATTACTAGCCGCAGTTCACATCMGYCTTAGAGTTTCTTTATTTGTTTTTACATAACAGATTACTTTATATGTGAATTAAAATTTAATTAAGTCTAATTAGTTTAATTAGTAATTAAATTTAATTAGTATTGAATGAGTACCAAGCTTGCTACGATAAAGGAAAAAATTGTGTTATTTATTAATTCTAAACAGTAACTATTTAAGATCTTGCTCAAAACGAAGTCCAGTTTTTTTCTGACGGAGTTACCCTGGCCGAAAATGTCTGTCTAAGTGTAACGGCATCTGTAATGCCCTGTATTAATTCCTCCCTTGTATGGCTTCTTCCGGCATAAACCTGCTTGTCGTCGGATCTTCTTGAAAACCCCTAAGAATGGCTTCTTCGTCATTAGTACCGTAACTTTCTGGAGATKCTACGTGAATTTGTCTGCCTTGTACTTTTCCYGACTCAATGAGCCTTCGATAGGTGTTTGCAAAGACACAAATATTTGGAAGAAGCCTGACATGTCCAGTTCAAATTTTTCTTAATTGTAGTTTGCCATATACAGGGTGTCCCACCGGGAACCGCCGCGATTGATATCTGGCAAACTGTAATTGGAGAAATCTGAAAATTTGACAGTGTGCCGAACTCATTGGGGGCAGGCAGTCTGAAATATTTTCAGATTGACCACACTTCCGGTTATAGCGGAAGTAGGTATAAACTGGCTTATTTTAAATGGAATACCCTATATATTATCACATTTTTGAATTCGACTCCACATTCTAAATATGTTTCATGTACAATAACCTATAGCCAAGTCTAACCATTTTTGATATATTTGAACTTTTATGTCAAATAATGGGAGTTGCAACCGCTCGAATAGTTAGTCATTTTTTCCTATAAGGGAATTTGTTATACTTAATTTGAGTCCAAATCAAAATCAATTACTGGGCTTCAGTCATTTATTGTCTATTTATCAATTAAAATACGTTTCGGTGTTTTCCACCATCATCAGTTTCTCTAAAATAACAGATAGTAAAAAAAATGTTTTCATTAATTTAAAAAACAATCACAGTTTGTCTAAAACCACTCTCACTAAAGGCTTAAAGTAGCAACAACGCTGCACATGTAAGTAAAAATAATTGAGTAATTGAACAAAGAATTCTAGTCTCTTCCCAGAATTGATTGTCCTGACTAATCACCTGTTAGGTCTAATTAATCTCAAATGTTTTAAAGTGTTGCAATTGTAATGTATTTTAGTGAGAGTGGTTAGACAAACTGTGATTATTTTTTAAATTAATTAAAACATTTTTTTTTACTATCTGTTATTTTAGAGAAACTGATGATGGAGGAAAACACCGAAACGTATTTTGATTGATAAATAGACAATAAATGACTGAAGCCCAGAAATTGATTTTGATTTGGAATTGAAACACAGTCAGGAAAGTATGTACAATGCTTAATTTGAGTCCCATTTATTGTTGAAACAGACTTACTTTAATGGAATCTCAAAAATATTTTGAAAACTATTAATAAGTGTTAAAAAAATAAATTTCAAAATACAGCTGGAAAAACTGCCCAAAATCAATTTTTTCAAATGGAAACCCCCATTTTTGATAATTTTGTCATATTCAGTATTTAAGATATGTGTAAGTTTGTGTATAAATGTATATTCCAAAAGTGTTTAGTTTTCGAAATATTGCCAATTTAATGTTTTCATATGGCAATTTTGCCGCATCTTCGTTTAAATCCTATCACTCCATTGTTGCCATGACTAAAGTGGCCATTTTTAATTCAATCAAATGTCAAAGGGATGCTGACAGCTGTCAGTTACCTTTCGAAAACAATTAATATTCATGTCCAGACACTTAAATTATACAAACGAAGATTATTTAAACTTATTTATTATTTATGAAGAATGTGATAAAGCTGTATCAAGAACATGTGACGCATTTACCATTCGATGTCGGCAAAAATAGAAGCCTTCATGCTGTGCTGTTAAACAAATTTTACAAAATTTCAAGATATTTTAAATTCGACTTTCTACCACATCCGACCAGTGTATGTTTATACTTTTATAAGGCCAACCAGAAAAATTAGAGACCCATAAATTTGAAAAAAAAACTGATTTTTGTTCTTGATATAATAATAATTAATAATAAATAAACGGTTCTTGATATAGCTTGACCACGTTCTCCAGAAATAATAAATAAGTTTAAATAATCTTAATTTGTATAATTCAAGCATGATTATTAACTATTTTCAAAAAGTAACTGACAGCTGTCAGCATTCTTTTGGCATTTGATAGTGTTAAAAATGGCCACTTTCACCATGGCATCTAAGATCGGCAGGATTTAAAATGAGATGAGGGCAAAATGGCCATATAAAAACATTAAATTTACAATATTTCGAAAACTAAACAATTTTAGAATAGACTACTTTAACTTACTATTTAATTTACTATAACTATTCGAGTGGCTGTCATTTTTTACATAAAATTTCAAATATACCAACACGGTTAGTCTTAGGTATAGGATATTATACATAATATACATTTAGAATATCGAGTAGAATTCAAAAATATAATAATATATAGGGTGTTAAATTTAAAATAAGCAAATTTCTGCTAATTACACTTTGCCAGATATCGAATATCCTATATAGAAGGCGGTGGTTCCCGTTGCACACCATGTATATAGAACATGATTGTTTTTAGTAAAATGTATCAAAATATAAAACTAGGATAAAATGGAAAAAAGATAGGATCGCTAGTCACTCTGCATAATTTATAACATAACTGAAGAAACTATTTGATTAGTTAGTAGGACAAATTTCTCGCTTATTTTAAATTGGACACTTAGCTTTTTTATTATCAGACAAAAATGTAATTCCTTTTTCGAAACTAATTAACATCAATATACGGTTTTCCATATAATTTCGATTTGCTATACGAATGTTTTGAAATCGTTATGAATGTTTTTTAAATAAGGCGTACAATAAATCCCAAGCTTCTCGACGTAACAAAATTTTATTTTAGGCGCAAAACTCAAAATTTGTATTTCCCAAAGAAAGAAGTTCTGTAAACTCGTCAGCTCTGGAAATAGTTGGAGGTGACGAAGCATCTCCAAACCAGTTCCCTTACCAAGTGGCTCTTTACATTGAATATGATCTGGTCAGTGCATTTTGTGGTGGTTCCCTGGTATCATCCAACTACGTCTTAACAGCTGCTCATTGTGCTTTGGGGTAAGTGTTGTTGCGAAGCATATTTTTCGCTGTATCTGTTTCATATCAGTTGCTAATACAAATATGTAAAATTAATTATTCAGCTACTAATCAGGATAAGCTCCTGTTCGCATTGTTTTTATAAGTATGTATTATATGTCCTGTAAATTGTATTTACTACGCATAGATTCAATAGAGTAGGTATATCATTTATCGTTAATATTGACTCAACACTTGTTTTTTGCGACAACTATTCGATCACGTTTTTGTGAATGGTAAAAAACGGTTACGTAAAGTATCAATAATACCGGATGTGTACACGGTGGCCAACGATAGAGTAATGCAAGTTTAAGTACTGTTAACCGATATTATTTGTTTCAAAATCCTCATTACCACATTATAAAGGTACTAATCGCGCATATTTTAATTTTTTTTACAATTATACAGAATGCGTCCGAAAAGTTACAGTAGTTAACTCGCGGTCTTGTACCACCTCTACTGACCAGGACAGATGCTGAGTCCGAAGTTCTTCAGATTGTAGGTACCTGTAATCAATATACAGGGTTATCCATTTTAAGCTTGCGAAAGTAAAATAAAAAAAAATGGTGTGCGTCACGGGACGCTCGACAGAAGTGATAACTTCATAAGTTAATAGAAACCATAAAATATTGAACTTGTTAAACGCATGATGGCAATAATTA